CCATTGCGCGTTAGCTAGGTGTCGCAGCGACGAGCAACCAAAAGTCGCCACGTCTGGCGCCTAGGCTTAAATTTGACTACGTCACGAATTTTCTATGGTAAAATTTGTACAATGTTTGTTGCCACTTTTTACATTAAAGTAAGAACTAACGAGACTAAACGTATCGTCAAATTCTTACCTGATAAGATTGTTTCTCAACGATTTGACATTAGTGTTCCTGACATTAATTGCTTGCTATGGACTATGTATGAGCCACGAGTGTATGTTCACATCAAACAATATAGTAAAATAAGAAGTATAATGCAGCAATTTAACCATAAAAAGTGAACAGAATTACTTATATTTTTGTGAAAAAGTGGATTTTTTTCAGTTTAGATTTTTTAAAGTTTTTGAAGTTTTTTTTTACTATTTACGGTGACGTAATCACTTTAAGCATGCGCTAGCTGCTGTTTATGCGCGATTCATCAAACCAATTAAGAGACAGTAATGCCAATTAACAGACGTCAGCGTGCGGATACGGTGCGGATTTAAGTGGGATAATAATAATAATAATATTTATGATTTATGATAATATATATAATATTTGGGATCCACACTAAGCTGCTACGTGACGTCTTCTACTCTGTCTAACTCTACGACAGCTAGATGGCTGGCCGTAACTTCACTCGTGCATGTGTAAATGTGTAAACTGTTGTTATGGGTACGTCACCGGGCATGTACACACGCGCGTTATCACTGCGCGAACTACACAGATTATCCATCAGTATTGAGAGCAATTATATCAAAAGCTAAAAACAGTATTAATGCTCAATTAGCTCCTTGATAATCCGTATCAAGAGCGTATTAATATGCTTAATATTGCAGTAATTAATACTGATAACTTAAACTTAGATATACTATACTGCATACGCTCTTGTCGCGGACCTATTGATATGTTATATAGTGCGAGCTGAACGGCGCAGGAGATGTGTGCAGTGCGAAACAGTAGCAGCCTCTTAAGTTAGCATATGTGTTGCAGTCACGATCTTTTAGCCGGGCTGCAAACAGTAGCAGCTGCAAGTAAGTCAGCATAATGTCGGTCTTGCAGTGGCTGAACCTATGATCAGTCACGACCAGCGTGAGAAACTAGACAGCGGTCGTCCCAGTCGCCATGTGGGGCGATTAGAACACCCCTCTACGGGGCCGCGACTGCTTGCTCTTGTGTCAGGCTTGCGGTCACGGCGGCGCGTCGCACTAGGATAATAGTACAAAATACAACTTGACTAAACGGGAGGCGCATAGTACGACCCGTTCCTCAACGTATAGGATGGGTTATCCAAACCTTATAGAGCTGCAATGAAACTCCCCTACAACGCCCATGCATGTGCGGGCCTACTGTACGTAACAAAAACAACGCGACAGGTCTAAGAAATCGATTGCGGCCGGCCGCTCTCAGTGCAGCCCGGGCATAACAATCAGTTTTTATATCGCAGGGATGTTATCGTGGGGTAGTGAGGGCACGACCAGTGAGCAACCTGACACGCCGTAATCAAGCTGGTTATGAATTACGTCACTTTTCATGTGGACTGGAATTTCTATTGGCCACAACCGCATGCGATCGGTCGCACGCTTCACCGTGTGTGCGCATGCAAGCGATTTCGAAACGATATCGGAGCGATTGGGAGCGACGAGTAGCTGTAAATCAAACCATTCCAGTTTGATTTCTTGCAACTCGTTGCAAGCGACCAGAATCGCTACGAGTTGCAGTTGCACGTTCCCCTCAGACATAGCGATTTCACAGCAATTTCGACTGCGATTCTAGAATCGCAGCCGAGTTGCATGAAAAAGTCGCAAGTCTGCGCTAGGCTTTAGGCCCTGTTTACGCCATCCGGTCCTGCTAAACACCTTTGCTGAATCTATCTATTATTTCTATGATCTAGACTCTATAGCTTCATGATATCGCCGTGGGCTTGCACCCCATGACGGTACGGTAGAGCTGTGTGCGTACGCACAATCTGTTTAGCTGCCTGAAAGGTATTACGGTGAAACCTGTGTTAGCGGACACCTCTATAGAACGGCCACCTCTATAGAACGGACACCTCTATAGAACGGACACCTGTCCATAAAGAAATCTTTTTCTATGAATGACACTAAAGCTGTACTGTACAGTGAAACCACCTCCGCAGAACACATATATATAAAGGCCAATTTTGGGCGTGGGTTCCTCCCAAAGTGGGTGAGGTCTCACTCGAGTGACTCATGTTTGATTATGATGTAGATTTAATTCGCTGAACACCGGGAGCCCGTTGCCAGAAACAAAATTAGTCTTAACATTAGTCTTAACACGAACATTTTCACATAGAACGTCGACAGCACTTTGTTTCGTATTTTTACGAGGAAATCTGCTACGATTTTTCATTCAGGTAACTTCGCAGCGTTTCTGTCGAGGGTCTACGAGAAAAGGTTAATGTTAAGACTAATGTTAAGACTAATTTTGTTTCTGACAACGGGCCCGGGTTGGGAAATTTACAGGAAGCGTCGTCGCAGCGTGGTCATTGCCGCTATTGACCTTTCTCCGAAAATCGACGGGTTTCACGCAGGTGCGTGTAGCTAGTGAGACTCGTGGACCACTCTGCCACAACCGCCGCCGCGCTACGCGCAAACAAATGCCTCATGTGCAATGAAAAAACGCAATGTGCCAAGTGCAACTGCGTGTGGTGTGGCTTGCCGCGGTGCCCACAGGC